TTCTTAGATGAAGATGATCCTTTTTCTAAAATATAATATGTTTAATAGGTAATTTACAAACTAAATATTATTAGAAATTACCAGTTTTTATTTGAGATATATTTAAAATAACTTCAGAAATATTGGGTTCAGAAATTGGGTCTTCGAGATCTCTAGTTAGATCATCACTATCGTCATCAACTTTATTTTTCTTTACACTCATCACAGAACCTCCACGTCCGCTATACAATTAGTGAATAAAATAAAATAACAATTTATAAGTTAAAAAAATTAATCTTTTTACCTTTTACGTTTATTTGGTTTTGAGGGTGGCGATGGTGTTCGCTTCCGCTTGGGCTTTTTCTTACCTCCAGATGGGTCATTACTCATGAAATCTTCAACTGAGAGACGCAACTAACACAATAATACAATATTAATAATATAAAAATGTGGTTCATATTTTTAAATTTTATTTACTTTATGAACTTTTTTTTTGCCAGTTTCATCAACTTCGTAATCTTCTTCATTCATCCATTCATTATATGTATCTAAATCTAAGACCCAAGATGCTGTGACCTAAAAAAATAGTAAAATGTATTTTAATCTATACATTTTTTTATTTATATTTGTTAAGTAGAATAACTATATAACCTAAAATGTTTAAATATCTAAATGTAATTTGAAAAAAATTATTTTATAATAAACCATTGTTAATCATATTGAAGTATGCTATAGTTGAATACAATTCGTATCACCTTGTAATACCAGTAACCAGTATACAATTATAATTTAATAGCAATAAATATAATATAATGTAATATAAAAATATCAGAAAATATATTAATAATATAGGGCAATCCTACAAATATAAGTTAAAAATAATAATGTCCTGTCACAGAGCAATCAAAAACCAGTATCAATTCAAAATATACTAATTAATAAAAATAATAAAGGTATAATTTACCCTCCATGGAGTAGGATGTTGACTGCCATATAATACTTCAGGAGGTTCAACTGGTAATTCAGTAGTCACCCATGAATCATGAGAATCAGGAAAATAATACCAATGCATTTGTATCCAGCGTTCTTTATTTTTGTACACTGGCCGAGCATATTCTTCATCCAATGGTTCCACAACTGGAAATAAGACATGGGTAGCTTCTTGTTCATTTTCTAAAAAAAATAAAAGAATAACAATTTATTTACCATAAAATGATTAATGAGCTTTGTAAATATACCAGTAAGTGTTCCTTGATGTCTTTTTATAATATCCTTTATGCGGTTTTGTACTATTTTATCAACATCTGGATGAATAAATATATTTGGCATAGATAGACATTTAGCATGAATTAAAGCCTTTTCAACATTCATAAACATTTCAATACTTCTGTCCATTCTAGAAGGACTCTGTGAATAAACCAAAACAACTTTTATGATCAAGTAAAAATGAATTTACTTTTATAAATTTAATTATAAACTTGTTTAACACATCACTATATAAATATAACAAATTCTATGAAGGATACTAAAATGTTTAAGTAAAATTGAAACTTATTGAATTCAAAACGTTATATGACTTATTAGAAAAATAAACATTAGCTATTTAATAAAGAAAATAATAAACCAACATTTCAAATTTAAGAAAGTAAAATGTGAATTTTATTTCAGTATACTTCATATATTTATTTAATTTTGAGTATACAGTTAAGACTAATAAATAAATATGTACAGTACTCTAAGATATTTGTAATATCAGCAGCATTTAAAAAATAAAATAATAATAACATTGATCATAAGTAGTTAAGATAATTTAAAATGTTGATTAAGTTGTAGACATCATAGTTTTTAAATGAATAATATCAAACACATAATTTGGACTACTTCACAATGTCTTAAGACTTAAGTTCTGTACATTATCATTCATAGTTTAAAATATTTATAAGTGTTTTCCCTAATATGTTTAATAACTGAATTAGTACAAGAATGTAGAAGAAAAATATTAGTTCACATGAACAAGCACACAAACGTTGTTAAAACTATTTCTATATACACCAAAATATTTATAATTTTATACACATAAAGCAGTTCTTAGTCCCAATTAAACTTATAATACACTTATGAATTTCATTCAATATATCATTTGCTTGCAAGTACCTAGTGCACTGTAAAAAAATCTATTATCTTATACTCCATACATATTTTGTGATGGTTGATTAACATATTTTTTTATAGTAAATATCATATTTGGATAATATAATAATGCATAAGATACACTTGAACCTAAATTATTTCAATATATAACAATGAAAAAAAATATTTAATCACAGTTAAGTATTAAAATGGATATAAATAGAAAATAACTAAACTGTACATATTGATTGAAATTGTTCATCACAATATTTAGACTACAATTATTAACAAATATCATTTTGTGACTTTAATATAATTTAATAAAGTTTGATAGCTCTGATCATATGGCTCAAATATATTCCATTCATAATTGATATAGTTTTTTAATTTAATTCATTTTATGGTCCACAATTATAGGCTTGTATTAGCAAGTGTTACTTCACTTACATGCCTTATAACAGAATCATGCGTAAAAAGGCGTTTGATTTCCAGGCATATAGCTTAAAATATTTACATAATATAAATTTTTGTGGATTTTAAGTGTAAAATAATATTGCATAAGTTATGCAATGATAATAAGACTTGAGAAATCTATACAATTTATGATAGTATAGTTACTATTGACCAATAGTATCGATAACATAAATGCTTTTTCCTATAAAATAAGTAAAATGTAATACCATTGGTTATACATATTAATATAATATGTATAATCAATGGTAATACCTATGAACATTTGGTACTTAAAAAACATCACTCTTGCATGTTGTCTGTGTCTGAGTAACACATAAACATACCAAATTTTACGTTCAGCAAATTCAATTTACCTACTGTTGTTTTTAATATCAATAATATATTTAATAGACCTATTATCAAATTTAAAGGAGAGAATATTATTCACAAATAATTTTCATTTAATAGCAAGATATAAGCATTTACAAATTTACAAATTTAAAAATACTTAAACTTGTTTCAAAATTAAAATATCAAAAAAACATGTAACTATGGATAATATAAGGTCAATTTGCTCTGAAGTTTAAAACAATGGAGTAAAATGAATTCTTCTGAATGTTAAATTTGTTATATTATGTGTTAGTAAAACAGTGTCAATACACTTAAGAATGACATCTTGATTTAATAAGAATATTTGCTAATCTATGAGGTATATTAAATTTATACAAGATATACACGAGAGGTTAGGTTAGGTATACGAGAGGCCACAATACAATGGAAGGACTTTCAGTTATTGAAAACAGTTATCAATGCGTACCATTGATTATAATACATTTTCCAGGTTTCAATAGTTGTCATGTAACACAAGATAATTAGGTAGACCCAAGTGATTTGATGAATAACAAAACATAAATAAAATATTATTTTTATGATAGTTTCAGATGTACCTAATTAAATGTAAACATGTACTCAATAAATATAGACCTTATGTACATAAACTGTAAATAATTATTGATAAACTACTATTGTTAATCTACATATACAAAAAAGTACTTGAGTAGTTTGTGTTACTTGTATAATCCATTGATGTACATATTGCAAAGGATTAGGACATTATCCTATAGGAACAAGGATAGACAGGTGCAGAAAGTGCGTGCTCGGCATGTAATTAAATTTGTGGTCACCACAGAAAAAGCACACAACACGGGCAACATGAACAAATTTCGTACACATATTATAATACCAATAATAATAAATTGGAGACGAGCTATAGCAATACAAATTGACAGCGTGGGATTATAACAACAGGTCAGGCGTGCACGTCCGATTAGTGGTTAGTGGTGAGGTGAAATGAAGGCTCGTCTCGCCAAATCATACCTTACTGACCTGGAAATCGAATCTTCGCCACCCCTGTTCCACCTTAAACTTGTACACGGTAGCTAGCAAATGGCACAGAGCACCTCCAGGTTTGAAGTCCATAAAACAGCGCATCTGCAACAGAATGATGATAACAATAGGTCGATTCAAAAACACCAACACATCACAGATGAGCATATCCAATGAGAAGAACTCGATGTCGTTCATTAGTCAAATCATCAACTTACAGGCAAGCGAGTGAGCGGTGGTTTGCTGACATTTTTGCCAAGATTGTCTTCCTGGAATTGAATGAGCTGCAACACCAGGGCTGCAAGTGTCTTGTTGGTTGGCGGATCCGCTTGAAGGTACTGAACAAGAAACAAATCAAAACCGTCACAACATAAACGTACAATGGGCCACACCAAGCGACAGTACCACAGATACGTTCGAACGCAAATGTCGACAAACAAAAGTGTAATTACCTTTTTGTGATTTTTCATTAGCCACGTCCTAACGCCCTCCAACATATTCAGCGTTTCGGGACATTCGAAAAACTTCACGTTCGGACTGCCGTCCTTTTTCGGACCCAAGGCCAACATCGTAGCGTCGGTTGGCGGACGATCGGACAACAAATCAGGGCCGGTTAGTCTAAAAACTCAAAAACGAGCTTTCGGCAAAACTTCAGGATATTATATCTAATTTCACAAGACCCGGTATACACGACAAGCGAGAAACAATAACAAAAAAACGTCGATAATAAATATGGCCGAATTGTTTGGATTTTGTGCACAGGGCTGACGGAAAGCCGACCAAAAATTACCAGGCGCACCATTCAGAATTGGGATATATTATTTTCATAATCTTGTTGTGTACATTTATTAAACGTCGCCTACGAGACATCCCGTTGCGTTAAAAAAATAATTTTCAGTAATTATTACAAATTAAATGTATATGGTTTTCAGTTTTCAATTACATCTAGATAACCCGTGGATTGAATACTAGAATCGATGCGTATTGGCAAGACTGTGTCGGTAAAAATACCGATTTCCCGCGATTTTTGTTTACGTCGGTACTCGGTACGACGGTACTCCGTATACCACCGCATATAACATAACAATAATATTATTTATATATTTAATTTTTAGTCATATTTGTCCATTGTCACGTTATCACTCCGCCGCGGCGCGCCTCTGCGTTTCGATCTTCGAATATTTTTTCCGACATTTTATGGAAAGCGAAAAATATCGTACAATTATACTCCGTCAAAGGCACAAAGTGTTCGACTGTAATACGGCCGGTTCGTCGTGGTTGCCTTAATGGCTCATTGACCAAGGCTCTGACTTCTTAGTCCGACTCGACTTGTCTGTTGGTGGTTTTCGATCGTCGTCTTTACGTCGTGCTAACAGCCAACGGATTTGTGTACTCTCCTAGTGTTGACTGTTGATCGAAAATCGCCATTTCACGTAATACTTTATCGTCAATCGTTCCACTATACTGTTATTGTTGTATATGACCGGCTATCACTCGCTATCGTTGCAGTTGACCTCAGCTGTCCTGTAGCTGTTATTTTTTCCGATCGAATAGTTCCGTTTGTCGTCCCTCACTTGTTTCGTAACGATACCTCGCGATGGCGGACGTAGATCGGAAACTGAAATCCACGGTCACCGATCTGTCTGGCAAGAGTTGGGCCGAACTGTGCGACAGCTCGCAATCGTCGCAGTCGCAGACGGACATCGATTCGCCACTAAAACTTGGTGGCGAGGCGAGCGCCAAGGATCGCGATGATGAGGACGAGCTGTACGACTTGGTTTTCAAGCCGGTCAAAAAGGAGTCCGTCCAAGCCTCCGCGCAGGAAGACATCAGTTTGACGTCCTTCATGAACAATGTACACATGGTAACGCCGGTCAAGCAGGAAATCGACGACAAGTCACTGACGTTTGACGAAGACACCATTTGTAGCCCATTTGTAAAGCAAGAGTGGATTGATACACCAGACATCAAACCCAAAGATCTGGTTTGTAAAGAAGAAAATCCCAAGAAGGATTTACAGCATGCAAAGAGAAGATTGACTTCAGAGTCCGAGTCTGTGGTTACCGACCCTGTATCAACTGAGCGAGTCAACAAAGTTAACAAAAAATCTACCGACCATAAAAATATACATGACCCTGTGGCAAGCAAGTATGGATACCTTTATTTTTGTTATATAATTTAATATTATAAATTAACCTATTGGTTATTGAAATGTTTTTTTAAGCACTTTTGTAGTTATATAGTTCACTTTTCAATATTCACAAGTAGGTATTTAGTACATTTAAAATTACCCAATTAGTTTTAATATTGAAAAAAAAATGCTTTTCAAATTATCCATATTAGGTATAATGTTTGGATTTATTTTAAAACTGTCATTACTTCAGTATTATTTTAGTGATTTATATTATATTTTATTTTTACAGAATAAAATTGGCTCGTGAAACAGATGCATTAATTTTATCAAGGAGACAAAAACAAATAGATTTTGGTAAAAATACTGTTGGATACGTTAAGTATCTGGAACAAGTTCCTAAGTAGGTTTTTTATATTTTTTATTAATAAACTAAGCAAACTACAATTAATGCTATTTTCTAGACATGAACGTAAAAAGAGGCATCCTAAAACTCCTCCAAAAAGTTTGAAATATACTCGACGAGCCTGGGATGGATTAATTAAAAACTGGAGAGTTAAGTTACATTTATGGGATCCTGAAAGGAGACGTGATGATGATGATGCCCTGACCACTGGTTCAAGTTCAAATTGGTGTTCGTAAGTAAAAAAATTTAAAAAATGTTCATTATCTATATTTTACAATGATTGAACAGAAATGTTGAACAGTTGTCAGTTTAATACTTAGTGTTTTGAGAGTTTATGACACTTTATAGCAGGGGTTGCTACTAACCTTAATTTTGGGAGTCGCAAATTTCTTAAGTTAATTTGGGGTGAGCCACATTGTAAAGCAATGTTTGTAAAACTGAGGAACTCTGACGCGGTCAAAACACATAGGGATTATTTTTGGCTACCTACAAATATTTAAAGCTCCGTCACCGTCGCTGCCTTGACAATCTATACTTCTATACCTAATAACTACTGAAATTATAACGAAACCGACGGCAATAAAAACCACTATCTTAAGGTTCTAATGAAATTATATATTTATTAATTTTAGTCCTAAGTTTGGTTCTAGAGCCGCACGAAATTGATTTAAGAACCTCATGTGGTTCGCGAGACTCGTTGTGGCCTCCCTTCTTTATAGCATCAAATATATTTTCTTGCACTGTGTAATTGTAGCATCAATAAATTTGGGACTAAGTGGCATTTCTAAAAATCGGGGACTTTTCCTGTGGGGTTTTGTATGCAGAATATTATTGATATTTTATGACCAAATATTTTTTTTTTTGTAAAATAACATTTTATAATTACAAACCCAATGTTATGTACCTAATCTTGAATAAAATTTACAAATGATGTTACATTTATAATAGGTATTGATGCATCTGAAAAATAATGTTATCTATATATAATAATGAATCAAGTTTTTGAAAGTATTAACAGTATAATTTTAATTAGTTACTATTTTTGATATTTTAAAAATAGGATTTCTTTTAATATGCTTTTATTTTAAAAATTTGGAATAATTAAAAGAATATTTCTATGGAAATCTTACTATTATGATTATTACATTTTACTTTTAAGTGAAAACAACAATGAATCATTTCTGCTTCGTATTGATATAGAAAATCATAATCTTAATGACAATGAAAATCTCCAATAAATTGACAATATTTATAATACAAACATAAACTTTAATCCTTTTGATGCTAATATTTGGAAATACAATTGAAGTTGAGCTTAATAAATAAAAATTATAAAGGTATTATAAAGTAATGAAATTAAGTTTTTTTTATGTTTTTAACTATGAACTTTATTCAACAGCCTTTTTAATTTACTAAATTGTGAAATTGGAACTGAATAATTTAATCTTTCAAGATAAAATGTAATATTCACTAGTGTGTCATACATATTATATATAATTTAAAACACAGCATATTGTAAATCTTAATACCATGAATTAACATTGACTTGATATTGTTTTTAATTTAGACTTGAATCAATGACTAGTATGGAATCAGATTCAAGGCCATCATCACCACCTCTGAGCTTGTCTGAAGATTCATCACAACAAAAACGAGAAAACCATGAAGATGTTCTTACTGTTAATCGAATGAAGTTTAAGAAATCTAAAACTGATAATAATTAATATATCTATATATATTTTTACATTTCACGCGCAACATTTATTGACCATTCATTATAATATTTTTGAAAATTGGTAGACTTTTTGTATATTATATTGAATTCTAAAATGTTTATTTCTCTAAAGCTGTTTCAATTTTTTTTTAATTTTTATACAGTAAAAACTTAAAATACGTTAAATGTTATTATTAATGGATACCAGTATTTTATTTTGATAACTTTATATTTAATTAGATACTTAAATATTAGTTACTTAATTTGGATATATATATATATATGACTATCTACGTATGTAAATAATTTTTTTTTAACTTTTGTAACAATATTCGTATTGAGTCAGTCTTACAATTATAAGTTATGTGTGCAGTCTTCATTGATTATAACCTTGTTTAAACAATTGAAGGGTTTCATAACATAATATTTTGTACCAGTTTATAACAATTTTGAATTTATTTTGTATATTTATTACTTTTATTTTATTAATTATTACTATAGATGAATTAAGAATTAAATCTTCAATATATTTATGTCACAACTATACTGAATATATTTGATTTTTTTATTCAATTGGAATAGATCTATGAACTATGCTTGAAAATAATTTCTTTTGATTCAGATTATCTATCGATAATTATACAGCTAAAACTTTGTATATATTATAGACATTCTTCACAAAATTTGAAATTCCTGTTAATTTTGTATCATATTTACAACGATAAACTGGAAAGTATTTTAAAAACTGAACTTTTATTATGTAATTTATAAGCAGTATTAGCGAATTAGATCTTAAACTAAATTCTAACATTTTTCAGATTAGGATTTCTTAAAGTCTCGATAATCTCTGTTTCTTCTATATTTCATACGCGTTAAAAAGAAATTTTTGGTTTAAGAACTTTTCTACATGACTGGAGTAGGAATAGTTGACTAGGTGAGGGTGACATTGAGGCTCCCTTCTAAATTCAAATGGAGTTTAATATTATGGTAAAATAAGTACATAAGGTTAATTCTTAGTAAAAAAAATTATATATTTTTCGGATGTTTCTTATTAGTCTTATTTCAGTCTTTGTATTTAATAGAATTAAAATGTACATTTTTAAAAATAAAAACCAGTAATAACTATTTGAAAATAGAAATGGAATCTATCTTCAATCTCGTCATAGTTTGTAATTAGAATAAGATTCAAACAAAACAAAATTATAGCAAAGTATTCTTATCATGTAGTGCACTTAACAACAAATCAAACTTTTTATTTAATGTTTCAACATTATTCTCAATTGTATTCATTTGAACATCCATACTTTGAAGTTTGTCCTCTACTTTTTTTTCGAATTGTTTGAAACTAATCTCCATGAAATTATTGTTCTCTGTTTCATTATTTTGAAATTTGGAATTTTCCATTTTATTGAAAATAGACATTAAAACATCATTATTAATTGATTTTGATTGTTTCAGACTTAATAAAGAAAACAGGTTTGAAGCTTTTAAGTCTAATGGTTTTGACACTAACAAATTTTCGACGTTCTGCATATTTATAGGTCCCAAGAATTTTTTAGGATGCTCTTTCATCTCGGTTAAATAAATAATTATGCCAAAAATCCAGACAAAATTTGAATTATTATATTGTTTTAACTTCAAAGCACACTCTGCATTGTCAATGGGTATCTAATGAGAGTACATTTGAATTCCATCAAAATCATTGTGACCTAAAGACTGATGTATGGACACATATTCTCCCATCTTCCCAAACAGTTCTATGATTCTGGCCTGAAAAACAAAAACCAAATTGTTCTCACTCGTCTCAAATACATTAACAATGTAAAATGAAGCAGAAGTACCTCGGAACACACAACTATTTCATTGATAACATGCATCGGACCGCAATTTATGTTTATGAATAAGTCGTTTAGTTGTTCAGGTTTTTCCGAGGGTTTTTCGAAATTCACACCTTTACAATCAAATTCTGTAATTAATTGCATGACGTCACTGCAACAATAATCATAATAATTAATAATTATTATTAATTATATCGTAATAACAGCTGTATTACAGTTGGTTGGCATCGATTTCAGACTGCTTCGGACGGACCACAACACAGTCTTCGATGTCCATTCCACAAACGTTTGACTGCCAGTCACACTTAATTTTTACAATGTTCATTTGATGCAAATTGCAATTCGTAGGCTCGTTCGTCATCACAATTCTTAAATCAACAATGTTGACTAGACTACCAAGGACTTCAAATTCTCAAAATTAAAGTTTTATTTTTGAACTGTTAACTGTAAAACCTTACTTTACTGTTTTGTTAGTGAATAGTGCTTACTGTTTACTTACAAGATATTAGATAGTTATAACCAAGTACTATAAATAAATATATTATTTGTTATTGCTTAAATCATAAATAATAGTTAAACGGTAGAACCATATGGTATTATGGTTCGTACTTGTCTTCGTGATTGTGAAAAATGATTTAAAAACAATTTATTTAATTACAATATCTTGAATTCGTGATTTTGATAATATTGAACTTTCATGGATAAAGTTAACATTTCATTTTTTTTTCCATGACATGATTCTTACATCTTCCTTCAAAACAACGAACTGTAGAAGCTTGAGCTTGAACTGCTCTAAGATATTTTAAATTAGTCTCTAACACCCTATAGGTAACGTATTTGATTTTTCATAAAAAACGCGGGATTTCAATCTACTTTTGAGTAACGTAAGGTTGTACCACGGGATCTATCATGATGTATTGACAATCTTCTCAACATCGTAAACAGTTTATTGTACAGCAACTCTTAAAGGTTATTGACATTTTGAAGTTTGGTAACACTTGGTTTTATGCTTATCAGTAGTGACGTCACGAAGTTTTGCCCATTTATTGAAATTTGACTTTTAGCATATGACAAGGTTATAAAAGTCTCAATTCACCTTCAGATATTCGTTAGAAGACTTCAATATTTCCAAATTTCCGATTTTTCTACGAAACACGATGGCCAAGTACAAGGTAGTGATGGTCAGACATGGCGAAAGTGAATGGAACCAAAAGAACTTGTTCTGCGGATGGTATGATGCTTCGTTGAGCCCTAAAGGTTTGTAGTTTCATATTTTTCATAGACTATTATGCATATTATATTATGTGTTATTAGTGTACCTGAGTTGTATTTTGAGTAGTATTGTCAATTGTATGTATTCTATTTCTAATAATGTCATGTGCAATTCATTTTTGTTGAATAGGTGAAGTAGAAGCAGCAAATGCTGGTAAAGCATTGAAACAAGGTAACTACAAATTCGACCTGGCCCACACATCTGTGTTAAAGAGGGCACAAAACACTTTGGGTTCTATATTGAAAGAACTTGGCCAAGAAGACATTCCGATAGCAAAAACCTGGCGTTTGAATGAAAGACACTATGGTGGCCTTACTGGACTGAATAAATCTGAAACTGCAGCCAAATACGGCGAAGAACAGGTAATAATCACATGCATTACAATTGTTTATTTTTTTGATAATTCGTTCATAAATTACTAAGCATATCTTATTTGAGTATTAAGAGAATGTCAGCTCACGGTTTGATTTTTCTCTGGCTCACACCCAACATAGACTAAACGTACTTACACAGAATCAATTTTTATATGTTTTTGAGTTATTTTAGAGTTAAATCAAAAAAAATTATTTTGGTGAAAGTGTTTTATCTATGTTATAGGTTTGAGAGAAAACAATCATTGTACTGACAACATCTTAATCGTTTAGTATTATGTTTTCAGGTTCAAATATGGAGACGTAGTTTTGACACTCCTCCACCTGCAATGGATACAGACCATGCATACTATGATCAAATCGTAAATGACCCTCGCTACAAAGATGAACCTTTAAAGGAGGAGTTTCCTATGTTTGAATCATTGAAATTGACAATTCAAAGGACATTGCCTTATTGGAATGATGTTATTATTCCCCAGTTAAAAGAAGGAAAACAAATATTGATAGCTGCTCATGGAAACAGTCTTAGAGGAATAGTCAAACATTTAGACAGTAAGTTTCACCATCAATATTTCTATTCAATATTTCAAGTTTGAAATTATGTGCTAAGTATAAATTGTTGGGTTATGGTTTCAACTTATATTAAAAAATAATAATTGTTAATATTTTAATCTATATTTTTCAGATTTGACAGAAGACCAAATCATGAATCTTAATTTACCAACTGGTATACCATTTGAATATGAATTAGATGAGAACTTTAAACCTGTGGTTTCAATGAAGTTTTTGGGTGATGAGGAGACTGTCAAAAAAGCAATCGAAGCCGTTGCTGCCCAAGGCAAAGCAAAATAGTTGTTGTCAAAGAACAAACTAAACCTAACTACCTAAAAAATAATTTAAATACTTTTTAGTAGCATAACATTTATTTAAATGTATTCTTTACGTCTTATGTTGTTAAATTATTTATGCAAATATTAGGTAAATATAAACTTTTTAAACACTACTTAGTGATAGTACACATATTGTTTACAGTGTAAAAATTTTAAAGTATCATTAATTAAAATTTAGTGTGTCTTGAATTTAATATGATTACCTGAAAGTTAGCCTAACCTGTTATATGGAATTTAGAATTTAATTGCCATATTGATTCCTGTTTATCCTATTACATGTTGCATTTATTCCTTTCTACCTCCAATATCTTTATAAGTCAATAACTATAGTTATAAATTGTTATAGTTATAGTTATACTATAAATTGCAAAAAATAAATATACCTGTATTACCTATAATATGGAACCTGTTAACTGTTCTAAACTACAATTTAGGGTGTATAAATGTGCTTTGACTTCATATCTTGAGCTTTTCCTTTACTATTATTGTAAATATTGCCGAAATAAATTCTAACAATTTTATATGGGCTTCAATTGTGGGTAGTGGTGGATTTTCAACATTTGAATAACCTTTTTCTAGATTGATAAATCCTATGTATGTATTCCTGTGCATGTTAAGCCTTTTTACTGCCAACATTTTTAAAACTGGGATAGCTCCCTGGTCCCCATTCCTTGCCTGAATTGAATGTGGTCTTCTTCAGGCATCATTTCAATTTTTATAATGTTCAAGAGAATTTTTGAAGCTTAGTATGGAGACTGATGGTTCTATAGTTGTGGCATTTGTTTGGGTTTACTTTTATTGGTATGAGTAAATTTCTGCTTTGTGTGAAATCTTTATGCACTTTGCCTTCTTGGTAAGCTTTTTCTATTATTTTATATAAGAAATATCTTCATTTACGTAGGTATGTAATGCTTTATCATTGAATTCAAAAGTAACACAACTTTGATTTTTAAGTTACCTACCCAAAGACAAAGTACACTCAGTAGTCAGACTCTACTAGTATACCTACTTAACACTACCATGCACCAAAGTTTGATCTCGGATTATTTTTTTTTCATGCATCCATTGTTAATATATTAATGCTTTCAATCGAAACAAATATAAGATTGCACGTTGGCACATCTAATACATACATAACACACACATTTTAAATACACTATCTAATGTCTATAATGAAAAACAAAATTATCATTATTAAATATTTTATCTAGTTTTATTGATAATATATAGTGCACATCATACAACTGGGAAGTGAAATGATGAACATTCTATAACAGTTACACTTATCCCTTTAGTAGTTTAGTACCTAGGTACTTTACATATACAAGTAAGTCAACTCTAATCAAAAATATTGTAATTTTAAGAAGACAAGTAAGTGTACACATTATTTTATATACATTTATTGAATGTTTACTTATGAAAAATTATGTTGTGTTATTATGCGTTATTTGGCAATAAAATAGTTTAGTAAATGTAATGGTAAAATGTTGTTAGAAATAAGCAGTCTAAAACGAGTTTTTTTAATGAACTTTTTAATTCCATTAATATAATATCCGAATCAAATCAATTTTTTACTTTAGAAACTGAGATGATACATAAAGTGTAAAATATATATGTAATATTACTAGGAGGTGTTTTTCAAGTTTTAATTTATATAGATGCTAGATATTGAAAATATTATAAAATAAAAGTGGTTATCTAACAACAGTTAATGAATGTAGACACTATAAATAATATTAAATTACATTAATTTAGATACTCACAGATCACATTTAAAAACATAATAATAATTAATAGCCTAATAATACAGAAATATTTCGAATGATCAATATACGTCAAATAATACAAATAATTACCTTTTATAATGGATTATTAAAGGTACACACTACAGTACTACACGGTACACGACAATAGGTAACATTTGATGTTCTTTATTCTAATATCGTATATTATGATATTGTCGTCAAAATGTTACAGGAAAAGTAAAAAAAAATGTATTCTAAAGATTTCATCTTTCAGAATTATACATAATATCGCAGTATAAAACAAAATATTATTAATACCTAAATATATAAAATAAATTATATGTTTGTTATTAAATACTTATTATGATGGTAATTAATAATTACACTAATTAGCGTTAAAAAAAATACCTATTTGTTAATAATTTGCATGTGTTGGTGAGAAAAATTGGAGGCTGGGGATTTTTTTTCCGGAGGATTTTTATTCCTATTACCATTTACCACCTTGATCATAGGCGCAAATTGGGAGGATTCAAGGGCTCAGCCCTCCAAACATTTCCTAAATTCTTTTAAAGCTTAGTCAATATTATTAGAACATAGAATAGGTACCTAATATTACACACCTCCCACCCTGATCTCAAATAATAATTGCGCCTATGACGTTGATGAATTATTGTACATGTACAACTTTAATAATATGTATGCTATCCAATTATCAATTTATTAATTCATCATTTAATTTTATGTAACATAGGTCAAACTCCCGAACATCATTATTGTGTTGATAATGATAAAATAAAATACATTGGACTTATTAACACAGAACAAATTCTGTTACTTGAACTTTTTTTATCTTCTTAAAACAACATAATATTTAATATTTATGCTAGCTTAAGGTTAGCTTCATGGATTTAAAAGATCAAAAATATTTTCAGAACTATATCATATCCAGAAAATTCAAATATAAATAGGTACTTTGTAAAAATGTCAACTACCTAGGTACCTAGCTACTTCAAATCTTAAAAATTTAAATATAAAAACGTAGGTACCTAATTAAATTGATTTGATTCCATGATAGTATTTCTTCAGGTTTTTCCGATTATTTATAATAGAACTTGTAATTTCTTACTTCGAGTTTACTTTACTAAAGTTCCAGTTTGAGGAAATTTTTCAAAACACCACCCCAGGTCCGGAAATTAATAATTTCCACTGCTACAAAATGTTGTAAAAGACGCAAACGCCTAATTATAATCCTGCAATAGGTACATTCATTGCTATTCGCTTCACTAATTTTATTTGCATAATTCGATTCGCTCCGATCGAATCAGAATCTGAAATGTGAATATTTCTTTCATCGAAACAAACTACAACAAAATGTATATGAAATATTATATGCATTTGTACTTAGGTGCTATTTTAATGAAGACCGCATGCACAATACAATTTTATTTATTGCACCATATCAGTAAGGAATTGTTTTGTATTTCAGAAAAATGATTGGTTATCCGTTGAGAATATTACCTGTGGCAATCTTCGTAATATTTTTACTGTCCAAAGGATTGTGCCGAAAAGCTCATAAAAAGACCATAATTTTAGAAAGTAAGAATTTATTTTGCTTATAGATATCAACACGTGCATCACTTATAATCGTTACATACGTTTTAATCGATTGTTTCTTAGAAGTGCTAGGTAAACAATTTATTTAAATTTACGGTTTAATTTCTTGCATGTAGACTAAGTGAATATTTGGTACACTAAATAATATTTCATAAAATAACTTATAGTAAAGGCTAGCAATTACCTATTCCGTACTCCAAAGTAATAATTGTATAATGTATACCTATAATTAATTTGGTCAAACTCTATCACAATTCACAGTTAAAAACATACCAAAAAAGTCACCACATTATATTATTATTGTTGAACAAAGTCATTACGTAGGCAGTTATATATAAGATGTTAAGATTATAGAAAAGTTTGATATTACTCAAATAATAACAATCAATCATTGATTATACCATTTTGGAATAGGTATACCTTATATCTAGTGCTCGAATTGAGAAGGAACGAGGGGAACTTAATTTTAAAAAATATTTATGCGTATACCCCTTCTAAGTTATAATTATACTCTAATCAATATTACGTTTAAATATTCAGGTGGATACGCACATTTTTTTTCACACTATATTACATCCCTTATCTATTTTTTTCTCCAATTCAAAGTTCAAACACTGCATGAGTACCTATATCTAAATCATATTATATATTATGTATTACAATTTATTCAAAACTGAAAAAATAATATTAATCTGATATCTGATCAAATCAGTTTATATGATGACTGATTAAAAACGGAAAGTTATTCCAATAAATACTCATATATACTCTCATAATACAGCGATATTGGTTCGATTGTATAATTCAACTAATTATCTTATCTTCCAAACAGTTGTTTTTCTATGTACAATATTTTTATTATTTTTAGATGAAGAAGATGTCATTGTTTTTACTAAAAACGGTAGCAGTTTAAGAGTAAAATGTCATTATTCTGGTGACTTTGATATCGTCGATGTTAAATGGAAAAAAATTAAAGACAATGAACATGTTGAGGTGTCACCAAATGAAATTTTGACCACATCACAGTGGTACCTATATATACGATTACTTCGATACCTATTAAATAATCAGACGACTACCTAAGCATCTGTAATCATTATTGTCTTATTTGGTTATACATAGGTTGGATTTGGAAAATGTAAGCCTCGACGACGAAGGACAATATTCTTGCACGATAATAAGCTCCGAGGAGAATTCCCAAAAGAGTGGTTTTATTTTGAAAACGACAACTCATAGTAGCAAACCGTGGGTGGAAAAAATACCGAACTTTCAGAAAGATTTCAAGGAGGACGTATCGGTATTAGTAAACAGAACACTACATCTGAACTGTCCATTCACGAGTAAGCGATAATCATAAACAATAACTTTCAATATTATAATTTTCGACTTGCGTTTTCTGTATCGTCGTGTTCATAGATTTTCCAATGATATCAAACATTGAAATGCTTTAATCTTCCACATCACGGGCAGTTTATAACGTATGAATGTGCGTTTAGTTGGTTTCTTTAGAGGTCAAATGTAAAAAAATCTCTGTTTTTTATGAACAAAGTTAGGTTAGGATATTTTCCAAAATATCGATTTTTGTTGTTGTTATTTTTCTAAAAATAAAAATAACATACATAGGTACTTGAATTTCTTACCAAATATTCAAATTAGCATATGTCTTATACTAGACACGACAATTAATTATTATAGTTGTATTATGAGTTTTTCTCGATTTTAGATTTTTATTAATTATTGATTTTGAGAGAGCACATAACAAACACTATTTTTCGCTTGGTAAAATAACAAAGCTTACCGATACAGGGAAACTTCTACTAGTTTTCAAATAAAATAGCCGTTGCAATAAAATTATTTAGTCAAAAAATAAAAGTGTTTTCTATCATTAATATTAATTTTGATGATTTAATTTTGTGTTGACAGACATCGTGTTCTGGTTCAACAATATTATTATGTTTATTTGTCCTTTTTGCAATTTCATTATTGTATCGTATTGTTTAATAATATATAATAAGTTATTTACTTAATGCTTTAAATCACGAGAAAGTATAATGTATACCTAGTTGTTTTTAATAAATAGTTTTTGGTCAAAGTTTACTTTAGTCAATATATATTTTAGAAACAAATTCCGTACTACAACACATTTCCATAATGTAGGTAAGTTTTATGAAATCTTTCCCGAATTGTGTGAAAACTGAAAACTCGACGTGATGTGTAAAATGAATAAAATTTCTACTAATTTCACAAAACGGTTCAGAACGTCAAATGAATGTGATAATATGTACTATTATATTTAATTTGTACACACATTAATCATTTTTTATATAATTAAATTGTTTTGGGCACTCGGGGAATGGCTTTTATCATAAAGGAATACAACAAGTCAATAACTGCTATTAGATATTAAGTCGATCAAAAATAATTTATAAATACCTACTGTTTAACTTAACTGCAGGTATGAGTGATACGACGTTTTATTGGTATAAAAATAATAACGACTTACTCATTACAAGAGAAGCAAAAATTGAAGGTGTTGGTGCTATTGATAATGAGTACAGTTTAAAGCCAGTAAGAATGTCGGATGCTGGAATTTATAAGTGCGTGGTGGAAAACGAATACGGTTCAATCGAATTCCAATTTGCCGTAGCTGTTTACGGTAAAGACGATTTGCAAATGATTGAATATTTGACTAGTTGCTATGTAATTCAATTTCAGAGGATGAAATCAAAAGTAGACTTAATTTCGAATATCCTCGAGATTTGTCGTTACGATCTGGGAACAGAGCATTCATATTTTGCCAGGCTTTTGATTACGGCGACAAAGAAATCGACTGGTACTTTTTGAATAGTACAAACCCAGTGGACGTAGACATGGAAACTATGGATCTTTCACAATTTAAAAAGATGGTCAATAACAACGACGTGAGATGATTATTACTATATATTATTGAAATGTATATTATTTTCAATTTAATATGAGATAGCAATTTACATACTCTTCAATCAGGCGTGTCCCCGAGGGAGAGTGGGTGAATGGGCATTCGCCCTCCTACCATGTAACAATTTTTAATGTATAAAATTACTCTCATTGTCAACAAAATAATAATGATCAAAATTGTAATTCATTAGTTCCCCCCCCCTTCTTGAAAACTCTCTAGGGACACGCCCCTGTCTTCAATATTGTATTTTGTGGATTAATACAAATATGTGTAACTTTTAATTATTCAAAAACAATTTATTATTAATCCGGATAATGTAAATTCAATACAATCATACAATATTATAATAGATACTCTGTTAAAACGTTTTACTGTTTTAGATACATAAATAATAAAAACAATCATTTTAACATATTGTTATGTGCAGGTGGTAATGTTAGATGGCAAGTTGGTAATCGAACCCGTTACAATCCAAGATGCTGGATGGTATATATGTATTAAAAAAGGATTTGAAAGAATTTTAATGGCCGAAGCCAAATTGAACGTGAATGATACAATTTCAAGTATAACTAGAAACATTAGTATTTATACGTCATAACACTCGATAACGCTTAAATATTAATATCGTGCAATCTTAGTTGAACATAACATAACTTACGCATTTTAAAACCATTCGAAAAAAGAAACACAAATATTTTTAAATAACCAGAAATGTCTAACATAAGCAGCACTAAACGGAAATAATATTATGGAACACTAGTTTTCAGCGAAATCAACTTTTTTATTTTTTTTGTAGTCTATTTGAACTATTATGTTTGTTTAAGCAGAATTTTTTTTTGTAGTGAAAGTGAATTCAGAGGTTCTAAATCAAGACGAAAATGTCTCTGACGACAAACATTTCTTATTAAGTCTTCTACCAATGTTATCCAAACTTCCGATGGATAAGAAACTCATAGCTCGGATAGCTATTGAAACTTCGTTGCAGAACATAGCTTTCCCAGATCTGAGAACAGTGGAAAATTATCACACCGAACCAATTAATACTACACAACAATTTAAAAATCTTACTGAGAGGTACACAGTTACAATTTGTTTTTATAAGCATGTAAAATTAAAATGGGAGTGTATAGAACAGCTGGGCCAATTAGGAAGGGTACTCATTAAACCAGGAAAATATTTACTAGGAAAAACCAATGTAGAATTAACATATAAATTAGGAAAATACTACTCAGGATTGAATAAAGTAGGTAACAATAATTTTAGATATATACAGGGATCTGAAATTATAGAACATTATTTTATAGTCAAACATTATTCTTCCACCTCTAAAAATTGTAACAGTATTAGAAATAATAAAAATTTGGTGTGAAATTAAAACACAGGACCGTAAAAATCGGGACAAAACAATAATATTCCCATGATCTCATACGACTACCGGCATTAATCTACAGTATTTCATACGTCCAATCTTTGAACATGTTATCACTTACTTTTTGACGCGAACTGAGATAGTTAACATTTCATAAATTCTAAATTTTAATAGTTTATTTTTAATTAATAATTTTAATTACTTATCTCGGTTTTTTGCTTCTCCTGAATAATTTTATAATAGTGACTTACGAGGTTTTTCATGGTAACACAGGCAGACATTTAATCAAATTTGTTCGTCTATGTATGGTAATAATATGTATACAAATAGTTTGTAGGTTATAATATATGGCTCCATTGCAAATTGCTGCGCCGAGGACCAACCTACGAACCAGTCAAATTATGGAATAATGTCTACTTAGATGTCATAAACTCATATAACAGATGTATAACCTAACCTAACCTAATCTACACACACACATTTTTACTATAAAAGTGCGGTAATGTGGAACTCAGTTACACCAAATTTATTATTGTATGAAATATTGTGTTAAGAAAATGCTTAAAAATATAGGCAATTCGTATTCATAAAAAATGTACCTATAGTTATTTTATTGTGATGATTGATTTTCTCATATTATCTCTAATGAGTACAACGGTAAGTACATGATTTATGTGTAGGATTTTTTTTTTCTATTAGTTTTTATAAATAATTATAACTCAACAATTACATTCTAAGTGGAGGAGTGCTCACAATATTTCCGAACTCGCACCGACCTCAACATGCCATCTACCATAGCAGAAGCGCTCGGCTAAAGTCAATCATCCAAAATATTAACATTTTTAAGTACCACAAATATTATTAAAAAATTTTCACTTATAAAACATGTATAAATTATGTAACAACTAATTTAAAAAAAAATACCATGTAATAATTTAACGTCAAGCTAATAACCTAAGTTGTTGAAGCCTTTTCTCTTAAATAAAAATAAAAAAAATTACATTCTACGTGTAGGCTTAATACAGCCATTAAAGATGTAGTAAAACTATACTCTATATAATACATTTATACGAACAGTCGCTATAATTAAATTTTTTTTTAAGCATTACAAACCATTTAGGAACATTTTCTGTCAATGCTAAATTCTTCCACTCCTCTATATATTTACGTTCAGTCACTTTATATTAGGTGTTATATCCAGACGAGAAACTAGGCCAAAATTGAAATACCCCTTAACAATCGTTTTATAATAATAAGCATAATTCGCAAGATCAAATGTATTTATTCAAATATTTATCACCATTCTGGTTACAACATAAAAAGTAATACATTTAATATTGCATCAACTATTGTTAGTATAGTTATATTTGTATATGAGTATAATTATAAATATATAATAAAGTATTTATTCAAATGGTGTCTGGGAAATTATTTCAAAGTCTAACAAATGAACTTCTTTGTGAACAAAGGTACTTAAATAGAACAATACAATAATATTGTCTGTGCATAATGCATATTATAATGTATCACACGCATCCATTGATTCATACACTCGTAAAAAGTATTGTGTATACAAAATGTTAAAGAAAACACAGCATCGACACACAGGTGGTTTCTCGAGGAACTTAAAAAACTTGAGCGTATACTCATATATGAGTATAATACGTGAACACGCTTGATAGTTGATTCTATGCACAGTCTTACCTTTTTTGGAACTTTGACTGATATCTGCAGGATAACCAAATGACGAATCTGGAATCGGAGGATACAGAGTAAATGACGAAAGGGAAAATAATATACTTATCACTGTCGTAATTTTACTATTTCCGGTGTAGTATGAATAATTATAACTAATAAAAGAACAACGATTATACCAAAAATATGTAATTATTTTTTTTTTTTTCCTTCGAATCTGTGATTAAACGTTAAATCTTCGATATTTTAATTTTGAAAAGAGACATGAGCATTTAAAATTTTTGACATTTCACATACCTACATCTTGATGGTAAAATTAATAGCGTTTGCAATCCCCTTAAGTAGAAAACCGTGTTTATAATAGCTTAGAGGTACCTAGTGGCTGATTTTGATTTTTGCTCGGAAATCCTTCCACCGAAAAAATCGAAAACGTGTTAAATAAATATTCGTGGTCATAACCGGCATACGATAAGGTACTTCGTCTAAAATATTCGGTCCCCCTCCGGACCACGCGATGTGAACAATAATTTTTACTTTCAAATGTAATCCAAAATGTATTTATGTAAACTTACCTAACAACAACGCCATCTACCGGCGTGCAATTTAACTTGCAATGAGCTGCAAACTGATTTCTATCGTCCAACCACTAGACAGCGATGCCGTATGGTCTTAGGTGATTTTTCGTGTTTTTTCTCTATAGGTTTTCAGATTTACGACTTTAGTGTTAACCGTTGGTACATTCTTTTTTCTCGTGAAAACAACCGAGCCCGACGCCATTTTCTACTTAGAGGTAGAACGGTGAACCGAAAACCTTACGATTGACAGCGAATGTTGGGTTTGTCCAAATCTATAGTGTGAATCGTACGAAATCGTTTAATCGTATCGATCATAATTTTTATTTTTATAAAACGATGATGGGCCATAAGTGACGAGTAAGCATATTTTATTATTAAGTATCGAGAAATAACCACAGGGTTCACGTTGAGACGATACAGACAAAAACCTTACAGACTTTTGAAAACGAATGGAAGTATTAACATTTTTATTGCCTACACTCACTACTCCTATTCTGTAGTCAACGGTAAGCAGTGTTATAAAAAATTGTTTAAAAAATATTTGAAACTATTTTATTATTATTTTTTTCAGTTTTGATTTGTTTCACAATATTAAACACGTCAGTTTACAACTGCACGTACCTAGGTTATGATTACGTTTTAGATAAACGTTAATATTATTTTGTGTTTAATGATATTTTTAATTTTTTGTTAAAACAGTCATGTTTTGTCTTTAATGATATTCTCGAACGTTTTTGTTTTTTGTTTTCCTTTCCAATCAGTACGTTTTTCATTCGTACCGCCAAAGTCCAACTTTATTACTATTTGATCAATGTATAGTACGTTTTATTATTCCGCTCTCAAATCGTGTTCTGAATTGTCAATAAATTCGTATTGAGGAGGTGCAGATTACCATCATTTTACTCTCTAACCTAACCTAACCTAACCGTGGCGCAGTGTGTTCGAATGTTCAAACGTCGTGTATACAGTATACTGTATATTCGTATAGACATCACTGTGATTATTGTGTACAATGCTTAATTATTATTTTGATCGGATTTAGAGGTCATTCTGCCATTGTCCGCCGTTTATTCGATTTTTAACTTTGTTGTCGTGTGGTCTTAGTGCCTATATAGTTACATAACACAACACGATTTGTAGACCGCGGACAATAGGTAATATTTGATTGGACATTTGAAAATAAAATATGTCAACCGTACACGTTATTGAAATTGACTTCAGAATTCCAAAACTACAAAGAGGCGATCACAGTTCAGAATGTTTATAGATTATAGTAAGTCAGTAAGACATATTATCGACTAACCACATAACATATACATAAATGTTTAATTATCTATTATTATTACTGGGTACTCTAATTCCACCAGCAAGAACTATAAGAGGTTATTCTCAGCAGTGAGTTTGGCCATTATATACCTACTCGTTATAATTTTATTGTAATTTTTCACTTAAATGTACCTTCGGAAATTGTTATAATATTAAACATTACATTAGAGTATATTTATGGGTGGCCAGGTGGATACTTAGGAAAAACCAAAACCATACGACAAAACTGGTGTTAAATCTAAATCCGACGACAATGTGTGCGAAATTGTATTCATTTACACGATCTTAGCCTCCTCCTCCTCCTCCTCCTCCTCAACCCCCCCATTCATCTCGAGACAAAAAAATCTAACAAAATTATTATGATAATTATTGCGATCGTAGTAACGACGAGGACGGTGATTGATTATAATACGACCGTCTTTAATCGCATTGGCGTTCCGTATAAAAGAATAATTAAAAATACATTAGTGACGGTAGTTTCGTGTTTTTTAAGATTTCGTCCGACACGATCGAAATTACGTAACTAACTAATATACATAATCATATAATTCACATCTATACACAGTACGATTTAGTTACTTAAACCGTTATCGTTTAGGTTATATTGGCAGAGTAAAATATTATTTACATAAAATCGACCTTGCTCGATCCTGTACCCGTCGGTAGCTTCTATATTTAAAGCGCATTAATTGCATTGTGATTTTTTTCTCAGTAAACGCCCATTAACTCGAAAACTATTAACGTTTTTGAAAATATTGTTCTTCCAGATAATTTAAATGTATTACGAAATCACAATTTCGAAGAAATGTGTTCTTTTCGTTATTATTTATCCTTATCAGTTTTCTTTTCTTTTTTGAACCGCAACACATATTAATTTACCTTCATATAGCAGAATCTATTTCTGACAATTTTTGCGGCGCGTGACAACTGTTGAATTTCGCTGTTGTGCGGTTTTGAATAAGTTTCGAAAATAATGTCTCGCAATAAGTTCAAATTTTGTGAACAAAATGTTTTCAAAAACGATAAACATACACGTAATATCGAGATAACGAGTGTTATAAGCTGTTAAAATAATCGGCCTGTATTTATAGGTTACACGGGTAGCTTTATAGGTATGACGCATATCATTAAAAACGCCGTGTCGAATACGGCGAGTGATCTCGAAAAGCGATCGTTTTTTTTTTCTCTTTAATTCCTTTGTCGTTGTGTCGATGATGATGATGATGATGATAATAATAATAATAATAATTGTATATGATGACCTCGGTGAGGCCGCGATCACCGAATCCGATTGTTTCTGGGTCGACCGCGAAATCTGTCCAAGGACTGAGTATATATTATATATTGTTGTATTATTGTTGCAGTTACACACAAACGCACGTCGAATGCGCCTTAAGCCGTAAGTATATTTGTATTATTGTGTATATTTTGCGCTCAAGGCTGTCGGGAAAAAAGAAAATTATCATCGGAAAACAGCTACAACCTCTGCAGGTCGCCGCCGGAACGTATATATTCTGAACGGTGTACAGAAACGAAAATCGTCCACAGCGCGGGCGGCGTACACCTATATAGGGCTGATATATATATATAGCTAGTTTTCATGGGGTCCCAGTGGAAATGTGCCACATTTCAACTGTCATCCGGTATAGATTGTTTTCGCGTAATTTAAGCGACACCGGCGCGTGCGGGGAGGTGCAGGGGGCGGTAGGAAGGGAAGTACCTACGAAACGAGAACAAGTGCCAAACACACACACACACACGCGCGCACACGCATATATATTTAACTCGTGTACAGCTCTACACGATTCTTCCTCGGAAACGAACCTTTTTCCTTTTTCTTTCTGTTTGTTTTTCGAACGCTAATCACGTGCGCGAGACTAGAAAACCGACCCCAAAATGAAGCACAAATAGGTATAGTGTCCCATAATGACAATTTACTGTATAAATAGGTGTACTTATATATTACACGTGTCTCGGTTGCTGCAGGCGTTATATAGCTGCAAGTTTAAGTTAGATATATATATATATATATATATGTGTGTGTGTGTGTACAATGTACATCCGGGTATATTATTATGTCCCCATCACGTCGGTGAATTTATATTTTATTTTCACAGCAAAAACGTATGAGATTTTTGAAATATAATATTATTGTCGAAGGTCTTATATGATTTTTTGGAAAATGCGGTCTGTATATATTTATGTAGAGCAGTTGGTCCCGATAAACTTAATATATAAACCGATAAAACCATGTTAAAATTAACTTTTTCAATAGTTAAATACTTATTTTAGAAGTGGCTAGAATACCAACTATTGATGCAGTTAAGGGTGTCGGTGCCGGTTTTCCCGATTTTCCGCGATCCTATACAATTTGAAAATCATATTTTATATTTTATTTACTACCTCGATTTTAATACTTTTCCACTAATCTACTATCTGATACCTATTTAGATGGAGGGGGGAGGGGGGTTGATGCGGTGTACTCGT